AGGGAAATCTCACTCTGAGTATGAAAACTCAGGCAAAAATGAAGGTTTAAAATAAGACAAACTCCGTTATTAGTCTGACACATGCAGGCACAACGTTGATGTATGTTTCACATATGGCAGTAAGTACTAGACTGACTGTTTAGATGGGTAATATGGTTTTATATAACTATAAGTGTCTTGAACATGTCACAGTCAGTGCATAAAGCTTTTGTATAATCCTAAGTACTGATACGTAGAAATAAGTCTGTTTTTTCATGCTTTTTTCACTTTCTGGCTTTAATAACTTGTACTTCTGTTATGTATTTCAGCTCCACCACAAGTTTGATAGAAAACCGTCCTCAGTCACCAGCAACAGGCAGAACACCAGTATTTGTGAGCCCCACTCCCCCGCCTCCTCCTCCCCCGCCTCTTCCATCTGCTTTGTCAACTTCTTCATTAAGAGCTGCAATGACTTCCACCCCTCCCCCACCTGTGCCACCGCCACCACCACCACCTCCCACAGCTGCTTTGCAAGCCCCAGCAGTGCCACCTCCACCAGCTCCTCTCCAGATTGCTCCTGGAGTCCTTCATCCAGCTCCTCCTCCAATTGCACCTCCTCTAGCACAACCCTCTCCACCAGTCACCAGAGCTGCCCAAGTATGTGAAGCTGTACCTGTTCATCCAATTCCCCAGGGTGAAGTGCAAGGACTGCCTCCACCTCCACCACCCCCTCCATTGCCTCCCCCTGGCATTCGGCCCTCATCACCTGTCACAGTTGCAGCTCTCTCTCACCCTCCCCCTGTTCTGCACCCTCAGCCCACAACCATTGTTCCTGGCTCCCATGCCCCACTAATGCCTCCATCTCCACCATCCCAAGTAATTCCTGCTCCTGAACCCAAGCGCCACCCATCAACCCTCCCTGTTATCAGCGATGCTAGAAGCGTTCTGCTGGAAGCAATACGAAAAGGTAATGCTTGGCCATTAAAAGAAGAATAGATAATGGCCTTGGATATTTAGTAAAGCTAATATAATCTTAACAGATGGTACATGAAAAATGATTTCTGAAAGGAAATCTTGAAACTGAGGCTGCTATGTATTCTGTATGATATGCAGATTGCTAACAAATATTTTCCAGCTCATAATTGTGCTTACCAGGCGTGTAAGTTAGAAAAGTGGTTCTTTATAAAAGTTATTTTAAGAATGTATATATGCTTATGGATGATCTCTGGTGATTATCTCTTCATTTTTACATTATATACGTGAACTTACCTAGTTTTGATAACTTTCCACCAAATTATGTAAAAAGCAAAAATGTTGGGAATATTTTTCAGATACAATTAGATAAGAGCAGAATGGATTGATTGGTGTATGAATTTTGATACTGGTTTTACGTAGGCTTCTCTCTCGCATGCTACTGCAATGCACTGCAATAAAATAACGTAAGCTTAACATTCAACAGTCATTTTAAAAAGGCTTAAAGCAACAAGGGCCTTATCTTGAGCTATCAAATGGAAGTAGGGGAACAGTACTGACCCCACAAGGAGTCCCAAACCATTTAAGTACAGAAATAAAAAGTTAAACAATTCAACCAATCTCAGGTCTGCCCTGTATATAAAACCGCAGGGGGGAAGTAAGCAGGAAACATGTATTTAAAAATCAAATTTACCTATTTTGATGACGAGCACTAAAATTCTTTCATCAAAATCACACCATTCTTGTATGGCAGAATTAAGAGGGGTTTTTAAAGCATATGATACTGTTAGAGACAGGATATTACATTGTATTATATGGATGTTAGATCTGAGCTGGTATGACAAATCCTGTCTTGAAATAAGTAAAATTTACTCTACCTATCTGACAGGTAGTGCTCTCAGTCTTAGTTTGTTTTTGTTTATAGTGCATTTTGAGAACTGAGTATGCAAATCGAATGCAAGTACATGAGAAAAACTAAATATTACATTTGTGACTTAATACACTTTAGGTATTCAGCTACGCAAAGTTGAAGAGCAACGGGAGCAAGAAGCTAAACATGAGCGCATTGAGAACGATGTTGCCACTATATTATCTCGTCGTATTGCTGTGGAATACAGTGATTCAGAAGATGATTCAGAGTTTGATGAAGTGGATTGGTTGGAGTAACATGAATACTTCGGTATACACTACAAAGCCGAATGCTACTGTCCATTGTGGTGCTTGTTCCTTGAAAACGTTTGATGGTCATTTCTAGTGTTTTTTGTATTTTTTCTTTACACTACATAAATAATCCGTTTTTCTACTTTTCAGTTTACAAGAACACTCCTAGTGCATCTTTGAGACTAAATGTTTTACAGTGGCTTTTCTTACACCTCTTTTTTTGAAAGAACACATTTTGTTCCAATAGACCACTAAGTATTAAGCATGGGCAGCTGTTGGTAGAGTAGCAGTTTCAATTTTTTGGCATATCTTAACTGTGCACTTTGTGAATTTTAAGTTAATGAAGGCAACTGAGATTGAAATTCCAAGGGCAGCTGTATGTACTAATGAGCCTTATTCCATTTTTGATAATGTTTTTAAAAACATTAAATCTAGTTATCAAGATATCACTGCCTCAATGGCATCTGTACACTAAGAAGGTACATATGGTTAGCAGCACTGAATACAGGAAAGAAGAAAGGATCTTTGGGGATTTTATTATTGTTTTATTGTTGTTTTAAAATAATTATGCCTTATTTGAATGTTTAGAGGTTTCCCTCCCAGGTACATATTGTGTGGTACTATTTTGCCTGCATAAAAGAGTTTAAAATTCTTTTCCTTGTGAAATCTTCTGACTTAAACATGCTGTGTAACTTAAGTAACTGTTACAAATAACAGTTTGATTTAATAAATGGTTCATTTTAAGTGTTCTTGGTTGTTGCTCTTTCAGTAAAGTCCCTTTTTCTCTGTTGGGAGTGTAAGGGTAAGATTTTTCAGAGGTGCCTCCAGTAAGTCTACATGGTATGAGGCAGTCAGACTGAGATGTGCTATGCTAGCTTTGCATACTGAATCATAGGAAAGTAGGGCTGGTAGAGACTTCACAGGTTCATCTAATCCAGCTTCCTGCTCAAAGCAGGATCATCCCTCAATAAACTGTCCTAGCCAAGTATCTGTTTAACCTGCTCTTGAAAACTTTTAAGGATGGAGATATTCCAGGTTTTCTAGGTAGCGTGTTTGAAAGCTTGACCATCCTCACAGTTAGAAAGTTCCTCTGCATCTCCAACCCTAATTTTCTCTGCTGCAATTTGAGTCCATTGCTCCTAGTCCTTGTCCCACACTGCCACAGAGAAAAGCCCATCTCTATCCTCTGTATAATTACCCTTCAGGTATTTGAAGACTGTTATCAAATCCCTCCTCAGTCTTCTCTTCTCCAGACTAAATAACCCTAGATCTTTCAGCCTTTCCTCATAAGTCTTGCATCCCAGGCTAGGTCTCTAATAATTTTTGTCACACTGCTTGACTCTTTCCAAATTGTCCACTTCCTTCTTGAAGTAGCAGGCCTAAAACGACATATTATTACAAGTGAGGCCTCACCAGTGCTGAGTAGAGTGAAAGGATCGCTTCTCCTGATTTGCAAGTGACACTCCTGTTAATACAACACAGTATTAATGAGCTTTAGTTTACTCGCCCCCACTGCCATTTTAATGCACAGAGACACTTATGCACGAGATGCAGGAGGCTACTGAAGTGCAGTAATTAATCAAACCTGCTGGAATTGCAGTGCATTGGAGCAGCCTCTGTGCTTTGTACAGGACCCCTGAGATTCCTGGAGAAGCTAAAATTCATGCAGATATTCTGGAGATGAGACCAGTCCCGTATGCGCTTCTTGCATTCTTGGCATTATAAAAAATGTCTATGATTCAAATGGATATAGACATGCTGGACATACAGGATTTGACAGCAGGAGAGTTTTGGGGGGATACTGGCATTGAATGAAACAACATATTGGCAGATGGACAAAGCAAAACACAATGATTATACATCCTCAGCAGTCACCTGTGAAACAGACGATGGCATCTTGAGTCCTAGAAGGTACACATCTATTTTCAACATCTCTCAGCACCAAGTTTCTCTACAGAATAGCCAACTCAGCGCAAAAATGTCAGTAAATGAATTATATTGCTAGGGATAAAAGACTTGGGTCTCAACGCTGAAAAGGTTTCTGCAATACCAACCAATTTACTCTGATTAACATGATGAGACTGAGTCCAGCCCTCCCCTCCTCTGCCCCTTTTATTTTTGTAAAATAACTTCACAAAGCTGTCTGACAGCACCCATGGAACACTGGTTCAAGGATGAGTTTCTACTACAGACTCTAGGTTAAAAAACCCACATAGGTAGGCTTAAAGAAATCAGTAGGGAAAATTAAAGTAAGTTCCAGAGGCAAGAACTGCTATGCATCAGATTTATATGACAAGTCTGGTCAAGAGAGAGAAGAACCTTAACAGTGTGCATAATGAGATCCTGAAAACTGTTCTCTGGTGAAAGAATGATACATATCCATTGTCTCAGATGTTCTTGAGCTTTAAAAACAGGAGATTTCAATGATTTCTGAGAAGCAAAAATCCTGATTTCCCTGGAGTGGTTACCTGAGAAGCAAGGCTGGACTCTGGCAAGACTTTGTGTGACTGCAGATATTAAATGAGATTGGTCAAGCAAGGTTTTTTTCTATTCCCCCAGGTCCAGCGTCCATTATCCACCTGCCACAATGTCCCAGTGATTAATACTATTACTTCCAAACTGGCGCCTAAGGCAATCTAAGTATTAATTTAACTTGACACAGTCACACCAAGTAATGAACCTTGACTGAATAAAGTCAAGAGTTAAATTCAGCTAAGATTTCTAAGATAGTGTACCTGGCTTTCTGCCATAGCTATAGCTCTCTACCATGGCAACTAGGCTGCAGATATCTGCAACATTAATTTCTCCCTAACCATTAGAGGTGATTATTGAATTTAAAACTTTGCATTCATGTATCTACTCATACACAACTATTTTTAATCTTACCAATTTCTCTTTTCATTATTGCTGTTTCTAGCTGCCTCATATTTTTTTTTTATAATTCTCTTTGAAGCACTGATCAGCTGTTTATGCTGGTGATTAGATACATAATAGCTGATTGCTTGTTTTGCATTGTAAGGTACAAAGCTGATTTTCTGTACTGAACTGTTTCTGGATGCTACTGTTTACCCCAGTACATTTACGACAGTTTGTTAAAAACAAAGACCGGGCAGCTTCTGTAATGGAAAAGAATGTGTCAATTTATGGTTGCAATATCCAGTAAAAGGAGCCTTTGTTAAACTTCGGAGGGCGGGTACCTTGCTGAACTATAAACTGATATTTCTTCCATACTGGAGAGATTCAAGAGAAAGGAACTAAAACACCCAAAGTTATCAAAGGAAAAAAATCAAAAGAGAAGGAGGCAGAAACAGATCAAAGGAACAAGAGACAAAGGAAAAGTGGTCAAGAGAGATTTTTTTTGCAATTAAAAGGTAAAGGAGTAAAGCAGCTTTAGTGGACAAAGCAATAAACAATAGGTAGATGTAAAGAGGAGAACTAAGGAAGTGAGGGAGGGAAAAGGTAGAAAAATGAAAAAGGAGGGTAAAAATTGGAGACCATGGTTTTACAGTTAGTGTTGAATGTTTTTCCACTAGGAATGACAAAAGAACCTAATATTTAAAGGTAGGTTATCATTAGACAACCAGGGCATTAACCCAAACTAACCAGAGTATGATCAAAAATAGGGTAACATTACACTTTAGAAAAATCTTTAGTAAGTTAAAAAAAACAACTCTTCTCCATATCCATGTATACATGTTCTGAAAAGTTTTGGGAAACTCATACAAGGTTTTCTATCGAATATGAAACAAGAGTATCTGTGCTTAGATCTCAGAAGGTACTCAGGCACCTAAGTCCACTATATAACTGTCCGTAACATCCTCAAACCTGCTGTTCAATCCTGAAAATGTGTAAATTCCCTAGGTCGGGGTGGCCAACCTGCAGCGGACAGGTGCCACAAATGTCACAGGCAGCCTGTGTGACACGCAACAGACTGGAGGGGGCTGGCAGCACAGTGGTAGGTAGTGTAGGAAGCAGAGCAGCTGCTTGAATAAGGGAAAGGGATTGGATTGGCAGTTAGGGAGGGTGCAGGGCTAATTTGTGGCATGCCTGCCCAAAAGGTTGACCCCCCACACCCCACTGCTGTAGGTGCTTACTTTTTACTGTAGGCAAATGCAAAGCTACCCAAGAATTGATGTTGCCATCATAACTTAGAGCCCTGACTCATTCTGAAGCCCACAGATCTTGGAGCAATCTCTTGTCCATCTTGCCAATACCCTGAGATATTCATGAGTCCAAATCCCACCCTGGAATAGCCTAATAGCAGCAGGCTATTAGGCTACCACATTCTAGTGGAGTTTGTTAACCACTAGGCTATTAGCTATTCTAGGATGGATACATCAGTCTTTCCTGCTGGAATGTTTCCATGTTGTATACAGAATGAAACACTGAAAAAGAGGAAAAAACTCCCTCTGTCATAGCAGTTGGAGCACACACTTTGCATGGCAGAGGCTGAGTTTCAATTCCCTGCTCTAACAAATATTAATTTATACAGAGTAGAACAGTACCAACAAGAAAGATTGAAAGAGATGCAGCAGAATGCCAAATGACCAGGCGGACTGCATGCTTACCGGGAATGTGTGTGGGTGCCTGGTCTTAATCAACCAGAGGAGAGGTTTGAACGCAGGTCTATTTAGTTCGAAGTTTATGATCTAACCACTAGGTTCTTGGGTAGCCTGGAGCAGACTATACTTTCTCTTTGGCTCTTGCAGACATGTCTAAACATTGAACTTGAGCGATAAGATGGGTGCCCATCTTTGGCCAGATGAATACTTAGGCACCTGTGTGCTGTTTTTCTCCACTGCATTTCACTCTTGGCTAGTATAGATAACTTTCTAGTCATCTGGATTCTGTGGACGCCTTCCTAAAGCATCTCAGCAGCAGAGCAACTAAAGAGTTTGACCTCTGAGGAGCTGGGCCATGGTGTCTGATCCAATGCCCCTTCTGCATTAGAAAGATTTCCATTGATTTTAATAGGCTTTGGATTGAACTCAAACACAGTCTGTTTTTTTTCTTTCTAGCTGTACTGAGAATGGATTTGTTTACTCTGTTCTAACTGATTTGGCTGCAGAATCGGTTTTGCTGCATTAGTAATCTCTGTTGCATTCCTGAATGAGCAAGACTGCTTTGAAAGGAGAATGATTATCAGCCCTAAAAGAAAAATTGCAGCTACCCTATTTCTTCAAAATGTTTTTCTCACATTAATTTCTGGCCAGATGCTCCAACTACCTTCTTGTTGGCAAGACTGTTTAATCCAACTGAGAATTGATTTCAGCAAATATTTCAAATCTCTTGTCCAAGATATGTATACATTTTCCTCCTTCTTTCATTCTTTATTTAAAGGTACAAGGTTCTTACTGTCTCCTCTATAAATATGCTTATTTCCCTTTTCCACCCAACCAAATCTTATGTATATTTTTCTTAGGGTGTAAGGAGTCTCTTTTGAATTATTTTTCCTTATGAATTGTATAAAGATTGCTAAAAAAACATGTAAATATTTCAGTGCATTAATCCCCACAAGTTCTTTGCATCCCAGATAGCAAGTACATTAAGCAGGCATATGAATGACTCCCTTATTCTGCATAAGAAGGGTTTACAGTCTCAGCCTTCAGCTGTGCTATGTGAATTCTTGACATGCATGAGCTTTTACATGAAAAGTGAAATGTAGGGGCATATTAGGCATTGTTCAGTAGTCAGAGGAACAAGCTGGCAGTCTTACAATGAGGAGATACCA